GGGGGGGGGGGAAGCAGTGAGAAAAACAGAAAAACAAATAAAATACCTTTAAATCTAAACATATCAGTAATTCCATTAAAAAAAATAGTCTAAAAACATCAACTAAAAGACAGAGACTGTCAGACTGTATAAAAATCATGACCCAACTATACAATCTCTACTAAAAACTCACTTAGAATTTAATGATATATGTAGGTTTAAAGTGCAGTGTTTGAAGAAATACCATGCAAACACAAATAAAAAGAAAGCTGAAATGGTTATATCAGTATCAGATAAAGTTGACTTTACAGCAAAGGAAATTACCAGAGAAAACACAGGGACATGATCCAAGATGCTGGCAGAAAAGATGGAAACTACACTCACCTCCTCGCAGGACCAAACTGGAATTACAACTGAATTATAGAACAATCATCCTAAATTACCCACTGAACTAGCTGAAGAAAAGTCTTAAAACCAAGAATTTACAAGAGCCACACTGAAACTGGTAGGAAGGGTGGAGACACTATAAAAGGGCTGGTCCCTTTAACATTTCCTGCAATGCTGGTTTGGTGGTGATAAACTCCTTTATCCTTTTTTTTACTTTTTGACTGGAAAGCTCTTTATTTCACCATCTATTTTGAATGATAGCCATGCTGGATGGAGTAGTCTTGGTTTCAGATCCTTGCTTTTCATTACTTTGAATACTTCATGCCATTCCCTTCTGGCCTGTAGAGCTTCTGATGAGAAGTCAGCTGACTGCCTTCTGGGAGCTCCTTTGTAGGTAAGAGATTGCTTTTCTCTTGCTGCCTTTAAGATTCTCTCTTTGTCTTGAATTTTTGCCATTTTAATTATGATGTGTCTTGGTGTGGGTCTCTTTGGGTTCATCTTGATTGGTACTCTCTGTGCTTCCTGAACATGTGTGACTTTTCATCAGAATAGAGAAGTTTTCTGTCATTATTTCTTCAAACAGGTTCTCTACCCTCTTCTCATTTTCTTCTCCCTCCAGTACCCCATATGATGCAAATATTGTTACATGTCATGTTTTCCCAAAGTTCCCTTAAACTATCCTAAAAAAAAAAAAAAAAAAAAAATTATATATATTTTTTGCCTCTGTAGTTGGGTAATTTCTTTTACCTTGTATTCACTGATTCGATCTTCTTCTTCCTCTAACCTACTGATTTTTTCTTCTAGTGTATTCTTTATTTCGGCTTTGTTATTCTTTATTTCTGACTCATTTGTTTTGTATGGTTTCTATGTCCTTTTTCATGCTGTTGAGCATTCTAAAACCATTATTTTATACTCTGCTTCTTTTAAGTTGCTTGCCTCCTCTTTATTTAGCTCTTTTTTTCCTGGAGATTCCTCCTGCTCTTTCATTTGGGGCCTGTTTCTTTGTTTCCCAATTTTTGCTCTTTCTTTGTGTTTGTATTGTATACTAGATAGGACTGCTATGACTCCCAGTCTTTATGGGTTTGCCTTTTGTAGTGGGTGCCTTGCAGGATGCAGTGGTGTAGTTTCCTTAATCTTTTGAGCTAGGTGCTATAGGAGCGTCCCTTGTGTGGATTATTTGGGCTGTCCTGTTGTAATCAGGTCTTGATCTCTATTTTCCTGTTCATGGGTGGGCTCAGCCTTTGGGCTGCTGACTGTGAGGCTCAAACCTGACCAAGTCATGTCAACTGTTATACAGATGCTTACGGAAAAAAACCCTAGACGTAACAAGACCAAATGTAATTCAACACAAAACAGACCAACAATGACGAAAATAATAACAAAAAAGACTTAAAAGCCCGGCCGGGTGTGGCTCAGTGGTTGAGCGTCGACCTAGGATCCAGGCGATCGGGGTTCGATTCCCAGTCAGGGCACATGCCCCGGTTGTGGGCTGCAGCCGATCAATGACTCTCTCATCATTGATGTTTCTATCTCTCTCTCTCCTTCTCCTTTCCTCTCTCTGAAATCAATAAGATATATTTAAAAAAAAAAAAAAGACTTAAAAAAATGCTAAAAGAGACCAAAAGAATTAGAGAAAGAAAAAAAACAAATTAAAAAAAAGTGAAATTCACCTCTGTAGGTTTTTGTGTCTGCTGCGATTACTTTTTGGATCTGCTATTTGTGGCACTTGCTGGACTCTGCTCCGATGTCTGAATGTGGTCACTTGGTGTGCAGGTCCTGGGCCTCCTGGGAGGTTCTCTGGTACAAGCCAATGTCAGTTGCTGTTCCTGTCTGGCCCTTGGCAACCAGACTGAAGCAGGGTAGGGTGGAGCTCCAAGTAATCTGGTGTGTGGAGCCTTCATAGCCCAGAGGCTGGACCTACCTTGGATTTCAAACCTTGAATGTCCCAACTGTGAGCTGCTCTCTTTCCCCCAAGGAACTGGGCTCTGTGGTAGTGTCTCTGATCTGGCTTGGGTGGTTTAAACAGACTTATGTTGGGGGTGGTGCCTGCAGCTTCTAGGGGAGGGCGCGGGCACTTCCTCTCCTCAGGCTTCACTGGCTGAACTCACTGAGGAGCTCAGATCTGTTTTTCCATAATGTAGCAGAGGGCCCAGCACCAGCTCATCTGTCTCCCACCCACCCTGAAGACAGTCATAATGCCTCAGCTCTGCCTGGCTCCCAGGCACCCCCTTGAGACCACATCAAGTAGGAAGGGATAAAAAAAATCAGCCCCCTCCCCCCAAATTGGCACTCTAATCTTCCAGTTGCAGCCAGCCCTCCCTGGGCAGAGCCTCCGGCCAGACTCTGACTGGGCCAAATGTCTGGGTCCTCCTGATCATCTGACCCTGCTGTATGGGCGCAGATTTCCAGTCAAGAATCATTCCCCTTTTTCTTGGGTCACAGCAGGTTGGGGCAGACTCAGCCATTTTGCAGGTGGGGGAGGGGAGCTTCCCATGTGCTTGAGGTTGGCAATACCAATCCTCTTTCCCAGGCCACATTGTCCCACCTGTGTCCCACTCTCTACCAAAAGTTCTTTCAGAGAATAACCTGTCACTCATATTCACTGCTGAGTATACTGGTCAGATCTCTCCGCTGCCACCCGGCGGAACTGCTGTGATAGAAGGAAAAGGAGAATGATGCTAAGCTGGAAATCTGTGCCAGTACAGTGGGGTCAGATGGTGTGGAGGACCCAGACATTTGGTCCTCCTGCAGACACAGACCTGAGCAAACTTCCCAGGCTGGTGTTGTAACAAAGAAATTGCTCTTTGCCTGGGATGGTACAGTCTGAGTTTTCCAGGCAAACCAAATCACAACTGATTCCCACTGCCTGATGCTATGCCTGCTCCTCTTCTCTTCTCTGTTGCTCTGATTTCTCAGTAAGACAAAACAGTAGTGATGAAAGATACCAGTGGTTACCAGTGTAGAGGGATGACTACAAAGAAATAGCATGAGGGTGTGTTTTAGGGTGATGAAACTGTTCTGTGTCTCGGTTGTGGTGTTGGTTAAATGTGTTAAAATTCACTGATCTGTATATAAAAAAGTTACATTTACTGTATAATTAAAAAAATTTTTTTGACTTACCATAAGAAAGAAATAAAGGTGTTCTGATAGTGTCAATTCATTAAACAATAAGTTCTTCTGTGGGCAGAAGCCCAAGTTTCTTCGAATATCAATTATATTCTTTGAGATGGCATATTCATTAATATAGGCCTCTCCTCTGGTTGGAGGATAGCTACCTACAAGTAAACAGAAAACATGACAGAAGCTGAGCTTTGGTGAATGAACATTATGCAAATTAGCATCTCAAAAATTCAGTTTACTTAGAGATTACTCAAAAGAATGAGCAGTATCTCCTGCAGAACAGTTTAGTAAAATATCAAGTTACATCTGGGTGGTGGAATTAGCTATTTTTGAATTTTCTTTCCTTCCCTTTTCTTTTTGCTAATATATACTAATTTTTTGCAATTGATATGGATTATATTGGTAATAAAACATTTAAGTATTTTGCTATATTCCAATATATTTGCATTGAAACCAGCCAGTTACTATATTTGTTACCATATTGGGTATTGTGTAAATGCTATGAAAAACATAAAGATCTAGAATACATAATTTTTGTCCTTAAGAAATTTAAGTATTAATAACAACCAGCCCAGGTTTTGTGGGAAACTGTTTGGCAATATGTAAAATAGAAATTATATAATCATTTAAACCATAAAAATAATTTATTCTATTTTAAAATATATTCTTTTTGAAATTGAGATACAGTTGACATATAACATTACACTAGTTTCAGTATATAACATAATGATCAGATGTAAGTATTTATTATTAAATGATGACCACAATTAGTATAGTTAACATCCATCACCATACACAATTACAAATTTTTTTTCTTGTGATGAAAACTTTAAAGATTTCCTCTTTTAGCAACTTTCAAATTAACTATAGTCATTATAGTTACAGTCCCATAACTTATTTATAACTAAAAGTTTGTACTTTTGATCTCCTTCGCCCATTTAGCCCAGCCCCTATATCGTGCCTCTGGCAAACACCAATCTGTTCTCTTTATCTATGAGTTCAATTTTTTAAAAAAGATTCTATATATATGTGAGATCATATGGTATTTGTCTTTCTCTGTCAGATTTATTTTGCTTAGCATAATGCCCTCAAAATCCATCCATGTTGCCACAAATGGCAGGATTTCTTTCCTTTTTTATGGCTGAATTATCTACATATACAATTTATAAATGTATATATGTATGTATGTGTATATCATATGTCAACTTTATCCATTTATCCGTCATTAAGAATTTGCATTTCTAACACATTCCAAGGTGATGCTGAGGGTCAGAGGACCAGAGTTTGAGAACCACTGAGTTAGGGGTAAAGGTTAAACTGCTATATAAAAGGAGCTAAAAGAAGACAGAAATTTTATATACACAGGATTAATCTAAAGGGGGACAATCCAGGTTGGTAGGAAGACCAACTCCAAATTTTCTTTATCCATCCATCCAGCAAAGGATACTTAGATTGCTTTCATGTCTTGGTTATTGTAAATAATGCTTCAATAAAAGAAATAAATCCAGCTCAAGGTGTAAGATGGCAGAGTAGGTGGACAGCTGTACTCACCTTCTACCATGACTACACCAAAATTATAACTAAATTATAGAACAGTGATTTTCAACCTTTTTCATCTCATGTCACACATAAACTAATTACTAAAATTCTGCTGCACACCAAAAAATACCATTTTTGCTGATATGACAAACATATAGTTATAATTTGGATTCATTCATACTGGACAGCTATCGTGTTTGCTGTTGTCATTTTTCAAATTTGACAATCTTAGGAAAAAGAAGTCAGTGCCCCTGACTAAATAGTCAGGTATTGCATGTTTTTTTTTGCAGCACACCTGTGTGCCTGTTGCAGCAAACCCATTGAAAATTGCTGTTATAGAACAATAAACCTGGATAATCATTTGAAGACTAGCTTAACTAAGGATATAAAGAAGAAACCACCTAAAGATTGGTAGAAAGGGCAGGAACACAAAATGGGCTTGCCCCACACCCATATGTAGTGGTGGAGAATCTGGAGGGATATCTCAGCAGCATAGATTGGCCCTGTGAAGCAGTGGTCTCAGCCCCAAGCCAAGCTCCCAGCCCGGAACACCAGTGCTGGGAAGAGGAGCCCACATAATATCTGGCTGTGAAAACTCTCAGGGATTCTATTCATCTTGAAAAGACAGAAAGCTGCTGGTAATTTAGGCATCCTCTTGAAGGGCCTGCACACAAACTCTCACTTGCAGGCACTGACCCATGGGCTTCAATGAAGGGACAACAGTTTTGGGAAGGGATGCCAGGGACATGTGTAGCTCTGGGGCAAGGGCTGGGGTGATGGCCACAACTGTCCCTCCTCCTGCACTGCAGATAGGTGCCATTTTTCTTGTGTCAACACTCATCCAGAAATGACAAAATGTGTATCTTCATTAGCCTGGTGAACTCTGCTAGCTCCACCTTGAAGACTCCCTAAGACCTCTCCCCCCAATTTGCCCATAGCCCAAGCCTCTTTTAGTGCCAGCCTGAGCCCACACTGCAGTCTTTCTTTAAAAATTTTCAAGAAATTCCATTCAAGCTTGGGGGTGCCAGAGATGCACAAGGAAAAGCTGAGTTGTATGATTTCAGGGAATGGATTGGAGGGATGCCTGTCATTGTCCCTGTGTACAGCCCTATTTCTGTGTGGCCGATGGATGCCATTTTTCCTCAGTTTAGCCCTCACCCAACACAGTGAAACCTATTTCTGCATTAGCCTGGAGAACTCCACTAGCTCCACCCTGAAGACTCCCTGAAACCCTGCCCTATTGCAAAGTTCCCTAGGCCTCCAATCCAATGGCCTCAGTGTACCCTGAGACTTTTCTAAGTGGCCTTAAGCTCAGCACTGGTGACAAATCTAAATACATATCAACCTGGTGAACACTCACTCCACTCTGGTGAATCCTTAAAATGCTACCTCACCCAACTTATATACAGCATGAGGCACTTTCAGTGGCTGAGCCTTACAGGCAACCAGTAGGTGGTGGCAGGTTTTGGGATGCCTTGGGCTTTTTTCTGGCTGATGTGTCCCACGCCTAGTATCTGTGGCAGCTGGCCTTGATTTGCAGCATGGCCTCTCCCACATTCATCTAGGCCTAGCATAGGCAGATACCAACTGTGGGCTGCTTTGTATCTCCTAACAGGCAATCACAAGCAACATCTGGCACTAACATGAACCAGAGCCTCCCTTCACCAAGAGGCCCCAGAAGCACACACATGGTGGTCAGCTTCAGACCACTACAGAGCACCACCTGATTAGCTGCCAAAGAGACACACCTAAAGGCTAATCTCAGCAGGCAACAGACACCATTGGGGCAACAACAGCTTATATGCTGTGGTCATGGCCAATCCTCAAAGCCAGTAAGCCTGAGGGTCAATCCCACCCATGGAGGTGCCAACGGCAGTCAAGACTCATCTACAACAGAAAGGTACACAAAATCAACACAAGGGACACTCCTGGAGCACCTGGCTCAGGTGATTAGAAAGACTGCACAACTTGGCTCCACAGGATGCCTACTATATAAGGACATCTTGATAAGACTGAGAAAAGTAGCAGATATACTTACTTAATACATAAGAGGCTGACAAAGAGGCTGACAAAATAGGGATACTTAAAACAAAACAAAACAAAAAAAAAACATGGCTAAAATGAAAGAAAAGGAGAATTCTCCAGAAAAAGAGCTAAATGAAATGGAGGCAAGAAATTTACCAGATACAGAGTTTAAAACACTGGTTACAAGGATGCTCAAGGAACTCAGTGAGAACTTCAACAAAGACATAGTAAGCTAAAAAAGGACATATAAACCATAAAAAAGAACAAGTCAGAAATGAATAATACAATAAGTGAAATGAAAAATACTCTAGAAGGAATCAAGAGCAAATTAGATGAAGCAAATCAGCAATATAAAAGACAAGGTAGCAAAAACACCCAATCTGAACAGAAAAAAATAAAAAAGAATCCAAGAAATGAGGAGAGTTTAAGGGACCTCTGGGACAATGTCCAGTGTAACAACATTTGCATCATAGGGTACCAGAAGGAAAAAAGAGAGAGCAAAGAATTGAGAATCTATTTGAGGAAATAATGACTAAAAATATCCATAATCTGGCAAAGGAAATAGACATACAAGTCTGGGAAGTGGAGAGTGTCCCAAACAAGATGAACCCAAAGAGGCCCACACCAAGACATATCATAACTAAAAAGGCAGAAGTTAAAGACAAAGACAGAATCTTAAAAAAAGGGAAAAAAAGCAGTAAGTTACCTATAAGGGATCTCCCATAAGATTGTCAGCTGATTTCTCAACAGAAACTTTTTAGGCCAGAAGGAAATGGTACAAAATATTCAAAGTGATGAAAAGCAAGGAACTACAACCAAGACTACTCTAATCAGCAAGGGTATCATTTGAAATTGAAGGAGGAGTAAAGAGGTTTCCAGACAAGAAAAAGCTAAAGAAGTTTATCACCACTAAACCAGTGTTACAATGAATATTAATAGAATAGCTTTATAAAAAAGAACATAAATATAACTAATAAAATAAAAATAACAACATGCCTATCAACAATCACTGTGAGGGGGGTGGGTGGAGGTGGAAGAGGGCATAAAGGGGGTAAAAGGTGATGGAAAAGAATAAATAAATATAAATAGATTAAAAGCTACAATCAGGATAACTGTATGGATAGGAAAAAAAGACCCATACATAAGCTGTATGCAAGAGACCCATTTCAGATAAAAAGATACATACAGAATGAAAGTAAAGAGATGGGAAATTGTATTTCATGAAAATAGAAGCAAACAAACAGACAAAAAGCTGGGGTAGTACTACTTACATTCAACAATAGGATACAATATGAAACAAAGAAAAACATCATAAAGATGATAAAGGAATCAATCCAACAAGAGAATATAACCCTTGTAAGCATTTATGCACCCAACATAGGAGCATCTAATATATAAAGCAAATATTGATGAATATAAGGGACAGATAAAAACTAATACAATCATAGTGTGGGACTTTAATAACCCATTGACACCAATGGATATATCTTCCAGACAAAAAATCAACAAGGTAGCAGCAGCCTTAAATGACACAATGGACCAGGTTAGTTTAATTGATATTTTTTAAAGCATTTCACCTAGAGCAGCAGCA